GTGGGAGGGAGTTGATCCACGGGGCCCACCAGCGGGCAGGAGGCACTGGGGGGGAAGCTGACTGGTTTCAGATAAAGTGGTTCAGTGATTTCTGAGATTAGGGAAGTACGCTATTTTGCTAAAATTAAAAAAAAAAAATCTTATAACTATTTTGTTGAGAAGCTCTAGTGTCTCGATGCATTGAAGATGTGGGTGCAGACATGTATTCAACTCAGCTCTGCGCACACCCAAGTCAGAGAAATTTGCCTAGCAGCACCTGTAGGGATGGTGCTCGCCCCCTCCCCTCATAACCCCACTCATGGCTCCATAACGGCAGCGCCGCTCTGACCCCCCGCAGTTCCTTTGAACTGAAATCCCCAGCTGGAGACTCCTTTGTGGAGGGGCAGAGGGTGGGTCATGCAATACATATCTACACCCACATCTTGAAGAGCAACAGTTACAATACAGGTAAGCAACTGTCTCTTCTTCGAGTGGTTGCAGAGTTGTATTCCACGCAGGTGACTCACAAGCAGTTCCAGCCGAAGGTGGGCTCAGAGTCTTTAAACAGTTAGTGCACAGAAGTGCCTTCCCAAAATTTACGTCCAATCTTGATGCCATGGTGATAGCGAAATGCCTAGCAAATGTATCCACAGAAGACCATTCAGCTCTGCAGATATCCACTGTTGAGACATCACTAAGCAACGGAGCAGATGTCGACTAAGCTCTGGTTCAATGAACCTCCAGTGATAGTAGAGCCTAGAAGCGTCATCTACACTACATAAACCATGGTAATACAGAGGGTAATCCCCTTGGAAATGATCTGCATGGAAACTAGTTGCCCCTTCATTCGCTCAGCATAGGACACAAAGATTCAAGGTGATAAACGAAATGGCTTATTTCTCTCTAAATAAAACACTAAGCACCACCTGACATCTAAGATATGTAGATGCTGCTCCTTTGCACTTGAATGTGGTTTGGGAAAAAAATATAGGTAAGTAAATAACCTGATTAAAGTGAAACAGAGATACCACTTCAGAAAAAAAAAAAGTGTGTGTGTAGTCTTAAACACCACCTTGTCCTTGAAGAACTTAGTATACGGAGGATCTGCCATTAAGAACTGCAAGTCACTAACTCTTCCTGCAGATGTTATAACCACAAGGAAGGCCGTTTTCTGAGAGAGGACAGCATGTGAACATGCTTCTACTGACTTAAATATAGTGGACCCATCAGCACTGCCAGGACTGTATTTAGGTCCCACAATGGTACTGTTTCTTTCACAGGTGGAAAAAGAAGGATAACACCCTTTAAAAAAAAACCTCACCATCATAGGGTGTGAGAATATCATCTTCACTTGAAAACCATCTCCAACTACCTCTGAGCATTGCTCCTTCCCTTCATCTAGCTAGGCAGCCTCCACACATTTAAGGTGCAGACTGCTCAATGCTGGATAAACATCCTGGCCATGATGCTGAGTGAAAGTTTTGAGAGGTCAAACAGAGAGGGGAGATCAAAAAACGAACATTGCCTCAGCCATGCTGTCAGAAATGAGAATTAGTTTGGAGTAATCCGATGTGAGCATGAGGATAACCTGAGGAAACTGGGACGAAGGGGGCATACATCACATTCCCTTCCCAGTTCTGATGAAAGGCATTGATAAAGAGTCCCTTGACTGTGTCCCTCTCAAGAACAGAATTGATGCCATTTTCTGTTG